TTCGTCTTTTACTTTTCTGGCTTCGATATTTGCTATTTTAAACTTACCTCAGTGGAAATGTCCTAGTGAGGAAGAAATGCTGTCGGCAACAGAAGAAGAGCTACAAGAAATCTGGCAACTCCGAATGAGAGAGGTGAGAAATTATATTAAAATATTCTGTATCAAATATAAACTTACTCTGTTGATAACTATAGTATTTAGGTAAACCCAGCTTTCCTCTCGTTTTTACTGTTTTACCCGCAAAAAAAATATTTTTTATCAATTACCGAAACTGAAAAGAAATTGTTTTCAGAAAAACCTTAAAATACTTTTTCGATGACGAGGAACCCACTTTGAGACTAATAATGCTTGGAAATGACTTAAATGATAATGAAGAAAAACTTTAATATAAGTTTAACATAACAGCAAATGGTCAACGTTTCGACAAGGTTTTGTCATCATCAGGTACTTAATATACTTTTGTTATATTCACTATTAAATGAGTCCATGTGGAAGTTAATAATGGTTTTAATCTTGAGATTGTAGATTTGTAGAAACAATTATCACATTAATAACTTCAACTTCATTAAAGTAGTTGGTTTAATACTCTACGCGTTAACGTAAGATATCCTAAGAATAGACCATAAAACGTAACATGTAAAAGTTAATCTCTAGCAATTTTTGTGGCACATGTTGTGTTTTATGCATCTTTATATTTTAGCAAAATGATAGCAAGTTCATTGACACAGCGTATTTCAAAATGAAGAGTGGTTGTTTTGAGCACCATTGCTAACATAAATAATAGTTTTCATAGACACAAGCATTCGAAAAATTGCGAGTATTTTAGTTGCTAAAATCTTATAATCGTAGCAGAGTAATTATATTCTCCCTAAATTAGGATTTTGTTTTCAGTGAGAACACAATTAACATCGAGAATCTACATGACCTAGTGGTTCCTAAGGTAAACTTTAAAGGGTACACCAACAATTTATTAAATAAAGTTGTCCATAATATTTCTTTTGCATCGTTTAAAATTCAGCTCTTGATATATTTGTCTAGATCCAAGGTGCTATCATTGTGGCGTCCATCTTTGAAACGGTTATTGGACTCACAGGTGTTATTGGAATAATACTTCAGTGGTTAACTCCTTTAGTTATCGTCCCAACCATAGCGTTGGTAGGACTTTCTCTATTCGAAGAAGCAGCTTCTGAAGCTAGTAAAAACTGGGGAATAGCGATTTTGTAAGTCTCGTTCTATAATGAATTTTGTTCTTATTGATGGTGTTCTGTTATTATTATTGATAGAATTGTAAGATTTAAGTAAAGCTTTTATTGATAAAGTACGAAAAGGAAACATTTTATGGTATCGGACAGATACACCAGCTGAGAAGGATAGAGATGCCATCTGGAGGAAAATAATAAAACTCGTTGATTTTCACAAAACTAAATTAAAAGATTTATCTATCCCCCAAAGAAAGCTATTTCTAACGACATTTCTTGCTATGAAGAGCTGACCAGAAAAGCCATCCCTTATTTTGCCTCTTCTAATTCCGAAAATATCAACACAACTGAAATGTTTTCTTTACTGACATTCACTTCATTTGAACAGCAGCTGTTGAACCATTTCAATACTTTTCCACATGTTAACTCCTTTTACAGAATTGTCAATCATATCTCTGATTACTTCTCGACATTTACCGTTTCTTTTATATATCACTATTCTGTACGAAAAACAAGCAGGTATATCACAGTAAACGATCACAAGATGTAAAGGTATAGATACCAACTAAAACAAACCTTGATACAAAGATATTATAAAGGCTCTAAATAAAAAGAAAGGCATCGAACAACCCGAACTCTTTCCTAAAGTAACTTTCGTTCATCTGGGATCATTTCCATTGGTAAGAACGAAACTATACCTTGTGATAGCGACCGAGTTTCTTTTGATTAAGATTCATCTATTTATTTTATTCTACTAGTTTTATAATTAAAAAAAAATCGAAAATTCATAATCCAGTTTTGAAAAACTCTATCAGTACTCTTTGAAACACTGCTTAAACAGTATAGCAATAAAATCAAATAAAATTATTTTTGTTGTTATCTCTTATGTAGAGCTGATGAAGCTTTTCTAAAATTCTAAAAATAATATATCCGTTTATTCTAATTTAATATGGTTTTAAATGAAAATTTTCCATGAAATCTCTTTTGTCTCCTTTTGGAAAAACATAAATTACGAATTTATCATGACTGATATTAAAAGTTCAACCTGCAAATTTATAAAATATGTACCTACACATTCTTCATCAAACACAGAATTAATAAGTTAATAAAAACACCAAGTAAATTACTTACAAGTTAAGCAGCTCCATAAAACGTATTAAAACAGAATAAAAATAATGCCAGAGTTTGGCAACGTGCCAAGAAGTGTAAGTTGAACTTCTTTGCTGTGCAGTGAGAACTGGCACTTCATTATGTTCTTAATTAAATTTAGTTCACTGCTGAGATTTTCCTGGGAACTTCTTGTTCAAGTTAAAAAATAGTTGGTTCTATTAAACAATCATATACAGCAGAGAAAGTCAGACAAGTCTACAAAAACTTCCGTGAAACCACTGTATCTTGCCGAAGATATGCTGTAGGCACGTGACTTTCTAATATAATGTACACAATATATTTGTATTAAAATCACTATTAAACTTTTAGATTCCCCTGTAAAGCGTCATATGCATAGCCAGGAAGATACTTCCGTCGGGGGACAGAAGATTACCGCATACAGACAAAAACATCCGAATAGATAATTATACCATAGGTCATAGGTAACAATACAGAGGAAGGGTTAACCTCGAGAATATTAATGGCTAAAATCAAACTTATATTCATTATCACTGCTACTAAAGAGTCATATGAAATCCGTTATGTCAAGTAGCTATTCCAGTTTAGTGTTCACTGTTTTAACAAAACAGTACTAAGATAATTGTATCTTGTTGTTGTTGTTTGTTTTTCAGAACAATGTTCCTTCTTGTGCTCTTCTCCCAGTACCTTGAAAGCATTAATATCTCTTGTTGTAGCTACAGTAAAGAAAGAGGATGGAAGATCAAACAACTCCCCTTTTTCAAGCTTTTTCCAGTGGGTATACATTTTGAACACAGTTCACACACGTTCCACTTACATACACCAAAACCTTAATCTTAACTTTAATATTAAAAAACATTCTCTAAATGAATTAATGTTACTGCAAACTGTTTTGTTGCAAGATTGTAAAAAATCCTTTTTTTGTAAACAAAAAAGGGTTTAAATATAGACGACTGTATCTCTTGTGAGGTAGCGCGATATAACAAGGTGTCAATTACGACAAAAGTATTATAAAACAAGTGCCACAAATGCAAGATTTCACATATTTGTATTGTATGTATAAATATTACAGGACTATTTCAAAATAAGTAACTTTAATTTTGTTTTATTGTATTTCTAGCATTATAATTGTATTTTTTTAAAATTGCTGTTACTAATTAACTGAAGAGCGAACGTCCACCTAACCGTAAATGTTACCTGTTTAGTTTTTACAATATTTAGTAAACATTATCTCTACGTTTGTATCTAAACCCATTTCCACTTGCATCAAATTTACTGCTAATATGTAACTGATTTATGGTTCACCTGAGCCACTTATAATAAAAGTAATATATATATATATATATAAGTGTGTGTGTGTGTATAATGGCTAGAAAATTCATTTTAATGTTGAATAATTTAATAACTCCAAGGTTACTTCCAGGTGTTACTTACCATTGTTACTGCGTGGGTTATTTGTTTCATACTAACTGCTTCAGGTGCCCTAGGACCAACCAACGCAGCCAGAACTGATCTTCGTGTACAAACGATGTATTCCAGCCCATGGTTTAGGTTTCCTTATCCAGGCAAGTAGTTAGAGAAGATATTTTGGACAGGTATTCGTTTATCTAAGTTAGAACTTTGCGAAATTATATTTTGATCGTTTTTTATAACGTAGAACCTATTTATGAAGTTCACTATACAACTTAAAACTCTTTTAAACAAAGTGCAAACTGTCAAGGAAATAGAAACGTGTTATGATTTATTTAATACGCATTTTCCTAAAGCAGTTGACGCGTATTTTGACAACCTTACGTTTGAAGAAGGGAATATGAAAGTCTTACCAGATAAATAAAAAATTTGGAATTTTGGCTCCACTAAATGTAATTCTAGGTAACAGCATGGAGCCAAAATACGGGTTTGTAGTTTGAGTAAATAATGTCTACAGTATCTCCTATCTTGTTTCCTTACTCTTTTGCGATCCCTACTTGTAGGCTTTTAAATTCCCAATTTTTTTATTTATCTTGTTTGCTGGCTTTTTTAATGTTCAACTATGGGCAAAGGATTACTTGATATAGTAGCTAACTGTATACGTTGCAATGATAATAAATATAGCTAGTAGCTAGCTGATACGGGTCATGATGATTTACTGTAGCTATTGGCTGTTTGACTGCATTAGTTCGAGATGTTAAGCTGCAGCTGGAGATTGCCATGGAGATTTGTTTGAGAGTATAGTGAGCATTTATAGTTTCTGTGTAACTAAATTAGGCCTGGTATAGCCAGGTGGTTAAGGCGTTCGACTCACAATCTGCGGGTCGCGGGTTCGAAACTCCGTCACATCAAACATGCTTGCCCTTTCAGCCGTGGGGGCGTTATTATGTAACGGTCAATCCCACTATTCGTCGGTAAAAGAGTAGCCCAAGAGTTGGAGGTGGGTGGTGATGACTAGCTGCCTTCCCTCTAGTCTTACACTGCTAAATTAGGGACGGCTAGCACAGATAG